ATGGTGGAACATCTTTCTACATCTGATGGTGGAACATCTTTCTACTGATGGTGGAACATCTTTCTACATCTGATGGTGGAACATCTTCCTACAGCCAATGAGCAGAGAGGAAAAGTCTGGAGACATGGAGATAGTTCAACATCTGCAGTACGAGGAGACGTCATGAGCTCAGAGACACAAAATGATACAAATGAGACACTGAAGGAAAAAGAAAAGAAGAAGTTTGGATGTTCCTCTCAGCCTGTCATCTCCTCTCTGCTTTGTGGAAACGCTGCCTGCAGTTCGATCACGAGGATCGGATGGAACCAGGAGGGAGGAAGTTTTGATTTTACAGCAAATGCTTTATTTTTGCAGACTTTCTTAAGAGACATGTAGGATAATGTGATTTTGAAGAAATGTTTTTGGTTCAGATTTGGTGAAGTTTCCTGATGTACTGCATGATACGAGAAAGGATCGTCTGAAGTCTGTCTTTGTGCAGCTTCTGGCTGATACATGCTGTTGTCTTGGTGACTAGAGGGTTACCGTGTCATTTATGAAGAAGGTAACATCCAACACACCAGACGAGCAAACCTCCAGGACAGAAGCTCTGAACGTGTTTAAGTGGAGCTCAAAGTTGAGAGGATTTCAGACCTTGGAGCCAGCACCGGCCACGGTCCTCCTCTGTGGGACAGCGGACGGGTAGAGCTGAATCTCTGGGGGGGGGGGGCGATCCAACGGGAACATGACTGACGGAACCAGCCGCCATCAGGCATCAGGTTGGAACAGAGTTGACCCAGAGTCGGTGTCCGTGGCCCGAGTCTGCCTCAGAACTGACTGACTTTATTCTGCCTCACTCTGAATGTTGGTGTGCTGCCGACCTTCTCCTAATTACCTGGCCACCTGATCACCTGGCCACCTGATCACCTGGCCACCTGATCACCTGGTCACCTGGTCACCTGATCGCCTGATCACCTGGTCACCTGGTCACCTGATCATCTGATCATCTGATCACCTGGTCACTTGATCACCTGATCATCTGATCACCTGGTCGTCTGATCACCTGGTCATCTGATCACCTGGTCACCTGATCACCTGGTCACTTGATCACCTGGTCACCTGATCACCTGGTCAAATGATCACCTGATCACTTGATCACCTGGTCACCTGATCATACTGGTTCTTGATCACCTGATCACCTGGTCATCTGATCACCTGGTCACCTGGTCATCTGATCACCTGGTCAATTGATCACCTGGTCACCTAATCGTCTGATTACCTGATCACACTGGTTCTTGATCACCTGGTCACCTCGTCACCTGATCACTTGATCACTTGATCACCTGCACATCTGGTCACCTGATCACTTGATCACCTGGTCACCTGATCACTTGATCACCTGGTCACCTGATCAC